TATGAAGGAGAGACATTGTATGTCCCCACTTAACATATACCGAATGTCTGCACTCTATGACTGAAACTGATTGACTAACGGTTGTACAAACACAAGAGATGGGTGTGAATGTCAGATGAGGTGTATGTGGAAAAGTGGGGCCTATCGAAGGACATTTGGAGAAGAGATACGGAGGTAGAACATTGACGGGATGGGGAAGTGTGGTGTTGAAGATATTTTGATCAACGGGACTGGGGAGAAATGTTCACATATTGAAATGCTCACATTGTAAGCTAAACAATGCGATCGAATGTATATACAAAAAGAAATAAATAAAAAAATTTTAAAAAAAGATGTATTTTTCTTCCCATTTTAATAAAACTGGGATAAACAATAATGTATGGCATATCTTATAGCCGAAGAAACCCTGGATTCAATTAAATATAATGTCTAAATTTACTTGTGTATATACTTACATATATTTTACACACATATGCACTTGTGAAAGAATACATTGGAACCCAGCAATACTGATTGCCTCTAGAGAGCAGAAATCAGGTAGCTAGGGAAAAACAGCCAATAAACACCTATGTACCAGGCCCCAGGCATGGATCTGAGCTGTTTACAAATGCTTTATCCTACATTTATTTCTCACAACAACTCCCTATGTTTATCCCATTTCATGGGGAGGGAATTAGAGGCAGTGCACTAAGTAACTTGTCCAAGGTCACACTAGTATTGACCAGGCAGAATCCAACATAGGTTGTGACTTCAAAGTCCCCTACTAACAACTAGCAATCTTTGAAATTACATTTTAGGTTAAATATAATCATGTGCACTGATAAGCAACTGTATAGAATAAAATACACCCCAAACTACCACATAGCAACCTCCTGCTCTCCCTTAAAACACCAATGTCTCTGGCTACGTCCTCCATAACTCTTGGCAGCTTGTTGAAAAGATTAAGACCCATTAACATCAGACACCGTGAATCTCTGAAATGCAAGGCTCCCAGGCTATTTTTGCTGTTGAGGGAAAACTCATCCATTCTCTTTGGTAGGCTCTAGTAAGAACAATGGTAGAGGGCCGGGGACAGGGGCCCCATTCCATCTGTGGCTGTAAAGTGTGACAAAGCTATCTGGCCTACCAAAGGGAAATACTCAGGTCTATTAATCCTTGTGCTTGGACTGATCGACAGGTCAGACACCTACTGCTCTCTGTCAGGTATCATTACTGCTAAGAGGGAAGGGAAACAGATTAATACTGGTTAATGAAACACCAGTCTAGAAGAGCTGGAAGCATCAAGCTTCTTTTCACTTAACCCCAATACTCTATGGTATTAAACCCCCTTTACATCTTGTATCTGTAGCTTGCCTTTAACAAAATTATTTTACTTAACTTTATTTATTTATTTTAATTTGACCAGAGAGGGGGAGAAAGAGAGAGGGGGAGAGAGAGAGGGAGGGAAAGTGAGAAAGTAAGCCACCAGGTCTGGGACTTGAACCATGGTCAGCCATGTGGCAGTCCAGTGCCCCCAACCACCACACCACCTGCTGGCCCCACCTTTTTTTTTTTTAAGTACTTAAAACAAATTCATTTAAATAGCATAGTGTTGGGGGACAACATCAGATCTAGAAACTGTGGTCTAAATTGAGTTTATTTATTTTCAGAAACTGTTTAAAATATTTTGTCTCTTAAAGCAGCAGATGGCTGGTCTGAATGAGGACTTCCTCTAAAGACCAGTGGAATGGCTGAGGCTGGGCAGGGCAGGGAAAGAAAGAAGGTGAACTATAGCAAAAGCCAGTCCATCTAGGAGCAAATCCATTTACCTGATACTCTTTTGAGCCTGGAGAAAGGCGCTTGCGTTGTGCATCCAGTTTGATAAATCTTCGGGCGACGTTCTCCATTCTGGCATGCAAAGCCCTGTACTCATCATACTCAGCATTGAAGTCATCCTTGTAATTCTGTCGCTGTTCATAGGACACGATAGCGATGTACTTTCTAGTAAGAGACAAAGGAAAAAGACAAATGGAGAGTTGCTATGGAAAAACAAGACTGCACGAATCTGAGATTTACACCAAATGTTTAGAAGTGATATTCATGCATGTGTCACCAGTATTTAAGGCCACTGCCACTGGCTTGCTGCCAGGTCACTCCTTCAAAGAACTCCTAGGTGAAATTCTCACAGGCGCAAAGAGCTTCAATGAAGGAGAGTAATGTGAAAAAGACTTGGCAGAAGGATTGTAGTACAACTACACACACACAAAACAACAACAAAAACACATTATTTACACAGATCTAGCTTCCTAAACCTTCCTCTCTATCCAAAATCAGTCAGTACCACACTAATTGCAGAGTCCAACCCATCTGTTATGAGTCACGGGGAGACAGAAGGACTCGAGGGTTACGTGAAACCGGAGAAGGTTACGCGGTCACTAAATGTCGAAGTCAAAGGACCCACCACTTTATGAGCAGGAGACTGTTTTGGCCTTTGAGACCTGCTGCTGGCAGAAATCTTCAGCAAAGCACTGCAGGCTTGCTCTCTCCATCGCTTTCCTTGTATTTTGGACTAGGCAAATATGGAAAATACAAAAGGGGGATTGTACAGTGACCTCTGGCCTATTCCTGAATTACTCATTGGGAAAAGAGCTACAAAAAAGGTGAATGATGTAAAAATTTTCCCTTATTGCCAGAGGGTACATGAGCTTACCAGAGAAAAGCAGGGGGTGGGGGGAAGGAGAAAGCACCTCTGACCCCCACCATGGGGCATAGTCAGATCACAGTCTGCTTTCCTCTATTTCTCTTTCCTGTCGGAATTTTGGGCATACATGCATATATGCCTGGTGCACCCAGAATGTTTTTCAAGTCTTTGGGATCAGGTAGAACCATAGCTGTCCATATTGGATTTGGCTACCTTAACTACTAGGATATGGGGTTGGGGTTGGTCCCAATGTACAATTTCTTTCTAATTGTTTTTTTTTTTTTTTTTTTTTTTTTTTTTTTTAGGCAGTGCACTAAGTAACTTGTCCAAGGTCACACTAGTATTGACCAGGCAGAATCCAACATAGGTTGTGACTTCAAAGTCCCCTACTAACAACTAGCAATCTTTGAAATTACATTTTAGGTTAAATATAATCATGTGCACTGATAAGCAACTGTATAGAATAAAATACACCCCAAACTACCACATAGCAACCTCCTGCTCTCCCTTAAAACACCAATGTCTCTGGCTACGTCCTCCATAACTCTTGGCAGCTTGTTGAAAAGATTAAGACCCATTAACATCAGACACCGTGAATCTCTGAAATGCAAGGCTCCCAGGCTATTTTTGCTGTTGAGGGAAAACTCATCCATTCTCTTTGGTAGGCTCTAGTAAGAACAATGGTAGAGGGCCGGGGACAGGGGCCCCATTCCATCTGTGGCTGTAAAGTGTGACAAAGCTATCTGGCCTACCAAAGGGAAATACTCAGGTCTATTAATCCTTGTGCTTGGACTGATCGACAGGTCAGACACCTACTGCTCTCTGTCAGGTATCATTACTGCTAAGAGGGAAGGGAAACAGATTAATACTGGTTAATGAAACACCAGTCTAGAAGAGCTGGAAGCATCAAGCTTCTTTTCACTTAACCCCAATACTCTATGGTATTAAACCCCCTTTACATCTTGTATCTGTAGCTTGCCTTTAACAAAATTATTTTACTTAACTTTATTTATTTATTTTAATTTGACCAGAGAGGGGGAGAAAGAGAGAGGGGGAGAGAGAGAGGGAGGGAAAGTGAGAAAGTAAGCCACCAGGTCTGGGACTTGAACCATGGTCAGCCATGTGGCAGTCCAGTGCCCCCAACCACCACACCACCTGCTGGCCCCACCTTTTTTTTTTTTAAGTACTTAAAACAAATTCATTTAAATAGCATAGTGTTGGGGGACAACATCAGATCTAGAAACTGTGGTCTAAATTGAGTTTATTTATTTTCAGAAACTGTTTAAAATATTTTGTCTCTTAAAGCAGCAGATGGCTGGTCTGAATGAGGACTTCCTCTAAAGACCAGTGGAATGGCTGAGGCTGGGCAGGGCAGGGAAAGAAAGAAGGTGAACTATAGCAAAAGCCAGTCCATCTAGGAGCAAATCCATTTACCTGATACTCTTTTGAGCCTGGAGAAAGGCGCTTGCGTTGTGCATCCAGTTTGATAAATCTTCGGGCGACGTTCTCCATTCTGGCATGCAAAGCCCTGTACTCATCATACTCAGCATTGAAGTCATCCTTGTAATTCTGTCGCTGTTCATAGGACACGATAGCGATGTACTTTCTAGTAAGAGACAAAGGAAAAAGACAAATGGAGAGTTGCTATGGAAAAACAAGACTGCACGAATCTGAGATTTACACCAAATGTTTAGAAGTGATATTCATGCATGTGTCACCAGTATTTAAGGCCACTGCCACTGGCTTGCTGCCAGGTCACTCCTTCAAAGAACTCCTAGGTGAAATTCTCACAGGCGCAAAGAGCTTCAATGAAGGAGAGTAATGTGAAAAAGACTTGGCAGAAGGATTGTAGTACAACTACACACACACAAAACAACAACAAAAACACATTATTTACACAGATCTAGCTTCCTAAACCTTCCTCTCTATCCAAAATCAGTCAGTACCACACTAATTGCAGAGTCCAACCCATCTGTTATGAGTCACGGGGAGACAGAAGGACTCGAGGGTTACGTGAAACCGGAGAAGGTTACGCGGTCACTAAATGTCGAAGTCAAAGGACCCACCACTTTATGAGCAGGAGACTGTTTTGGCCTTTGAGACCTGCTGCTGGCAGAAATCTTCAGCAAAGCACTGCAGGCTTGCTCTCTCCATCGCTTTCCTTGTATTTTGGACTAGGCAAATATGGAAAATACAAAAGGGGGATTGTACAGTGACCTCTGGCCTATTCCTGAATTACTCATTGGGAAAAGAGCTACAAAAAAGGTGAATGATGTAAAAATTTTCCCTTATTGCCAGAGGGTACATGAGCTTACCAGAGAAAAGCAGGGGGTGGGGGGAAGGAGAAAGCACCTCTGACCCCCACCATGGGGCATAGTCAGATCACAGTCTGCTTTCCTCTATTTCTCTTTCCTGTCGGAATTTTGGGCATACATGCATATATGCCTGGTGCACCCAGAATGTTTTTCAAGTCTTTGGGATCAGGTAGAACCATAGCTGTCCATATTGGATTTGGCTACCTTAACTACTAGGATATGGGGTTGGGGTTGGTCCCAATGTACAATTTCTTTCTAATTGTTTTTTTTTTTTTTTTTTTTTTTTTTTTTTTTTAAGGTTTTACCCATGGGGCAGTGGTACTTATTGGAGAGAGAGAGTGAGAGAAGGAACAGAGAGAGGAAAGTGAGAAATCACCCCCTCCCCCCCAGGAAGGATGGCCACGCTGCAATCCCTTCTCCTCTCAGGATTGTGGGCATGCACGCACAGGTGCCCAGTGTGATTTTCAAGCTGCTGGGTTTGGGACTCAAACTCTTTTTAGTCCTTGGAAGTCCAGAGCCGTAACCACTATGTTGCCTGCTGGCCTCTAACCCAATGTAAAATTTTAAAGAAAGATAAATGATAGTGACATTAGAAGATAACTTTGTGTGTACTGACTTACCACCAATTTCTACAACTTCTGTTATATCTCTACATAATCTGTCCAAATTCACATGCTTTAAAACAGTGTTACATATGGAAATACATGAATATTTAAAATCCTTCTTTTTAAATAGTTGCTGGGAAGGGTACACATTTTCAGACAAATTATATGTATATGGGAGGAAAATATATACTTTTAACTGTAACAGTACAGATAGATAAAAATCTTGTGTTGGTTTCAGTGTGAATTAAAAATTACATTTTAGAGAATATTTTTAAGAATGCCTTTGTAATGCTAGAAAGATTTATCCTCTAAAAAGGTCAACATCTAACATTTTAAACTAGCATGGGTATATTTATTATCTGAGTTTGTATGAAATACAGTCTAGGGGTTCAAGATTTCTTTTTTGATAAGACTATTAAATTAAAGATCATGGTGGAGGGGTTGTTTATCATTTTTTACAAATGAGAGTCCCCAGAAAGGTTTTTTCTCTAGTGCTTTTCAAATTCTAACTGTCATATTAAGTGTAGCAGAAAGTCATATAGTACTGCTATTCTAATCTACTTTAATTTACTTTCTAAAAAAAGTGCCAGAAATCTGTGCTTTACTTTGGGGTATGATTACCTCTAGGGACCTGGTAAATAAAGATCATTTTCCCCAAGATCATTTACTCAGGGGGAAGTAAATGAAAACAGCATTTTAATATTAAAACAAACAATATTTTTTGTTCGCAGAGCTGGGAACTGGGATCATGTGAGGGTCCGGCCTGGCTCTTTACTAAATCTTTAGTCACGGAATGCAAAATGCTCATCACTGGGCATTAAAGTTGAGGCAAAAACTGAGATAAAACTAGAGATTTCAAAGCTATTTTTACAGAAGCAAGAGCTTGAAGGATGTCTTCTGGGAGCGCACACAGAGTCCTCACTGTGGTAAATCTTGGAGCTCAGTCCTGTCCAAATGCTTTTATGTCATCTTACCAGTTTTATTTCAATGGCTGTACCACAGATGCCTGACTGGAAATGTGAGAACAGTGATGCAGTGAGCAAACTTCGTGTCCTCATTAATATTTTTATTCATGCTGAGTTAGAGCAGAGGTTTAACTTTCGACGTGTAACTGAGACCGCGGTAGTATGCTGATTTAGAGCTGCCCTGCTGGTGTCTTAGCTGTAAAAGGGACACTGCCCCCAAGCAGGAGGCACTCCTCTCTGACACAGGCCATCTTGGTTACACCCCGGGAGGCCCGGGAACAAGGGGTTCCTGGGGATAAGCATATATATATATATA